GGGACAGCAGGTGAGGGGGTGTCCCCAACACAGAGACAGCAGGTGAGAGGTGTCTGCACACAGATGCTGATGGGGGTTCATGCTGGGAAATCCTCTCTGGTGGTCTGGGGACTCTGAGCCGCTGAGGACGTCTTTGTGGAGGTGATGATTTCTCTGTAACTTCATTTCTAACAGCCTTGGCCAACTTTCATTCACAGCCCGTGTATTCCCCAGAGTGGGCGGGAGACCACAGGGCTGTCTGGGGAGGATGGCGTCTCCTGGGTTTGCCCTTGGCCTGTCATCCCGGCCAGATGACAAAAGGTTCCTGAAAGTCCCTTCCAAATCACAGGTGTGGCATTTGTTAAGAAGGAGACAGTGAAGCTTGCAGAGGAGTGAGCTCCGGGCAGAATTCATGCCAGGAAGACGTGGCCTCAAGGTAGACGCCTTCCTCTCCTGCCTGGGAACCGACAGGTGACTTGTGGAGGAGGCCTGTCTGGGATGGTGCAGGTGGTGCTGGGTCACACACTTGGTGCCTGGGCAGAGCGTGGATTTCTCTGACCAGCTCCGGGGATATTCCACTGTGGAGCTGCCAGGTTGCACCCTGTCCCACTGTGGAGGGGGGGTGGCTGGAGCGGAGGTGGTGGGCAATGTCTGGCCCCTGCTGTGTCCTCACCACCCTCCCGGGGCCCTGCAGTCCTTTGTGATGAAAGCAAGCTCTTCGGGATGAGGTCTGGCTGGGCTTCTTGGAGGCAACCCATCCAATTTTTTTTAGTCCTCTAAAAAAATAATCCAAAACAGTGTTTCAGAAATGGTGGGTGCAATGTTTATAGTTAACAAATTAACTTTAGCTCATAAAAGTACAAAGTGGCCTAATTGTGCTATTCAGAACAAAATTATAGGATTGATTACAATGTGACTTTGTGGTCCCTGTGGCTGATGGGCCAAGCCGAAAGGCATCAGGGGCCTCCTGTGTTTCTCCAGTGGGCGTCACCCGGAGGCCACATGCGCCTTCGGTGCTGGGTGGAGGTGGCCCAGCCCTGTGTAGGCCCAGCCCGGTGTAAGCCCCGCGCTCCCCGCAGGCCTGGGTCTCGCTCAGGGCCCTCCCAGTAGCCCAGAGTCCTCAGCTTGGAGCTCACACTGCTGTGATCCTGCCCACGTGAGCTGGCCAGGGTGCTTCCTGTCCCTCCCCGCCGGATCCTCTCGTGTAGTCCTGGTGGTGGGCTCAGCTCCCTAGGGGCCACCATCCAGCCCGCTGTCACAGCCAGCCTGCTCTGTGGGGGCCTGAATTGTCTGCCTCCATCCTGATCAGGTCCAGCCAGCAGCAGGACACGGCTTCGCCCAGCAGGAGTTGATGTGGGGCTGGGGAGGTGGCGTCTGCCTGTCTGCCCGTGTTCCCAGGAGCACCCCAAGGCCTCCACATGTGGCTGCAGACTTTGCAGCTGGAGCTCCAGCCCTTCTCTACAGCAGGGAGGGGGTGTCTTCCGCCTCAGTGTGAACACCATTCGTAGGGAAGTGTTCCCTGTCCGTGAATGAGGGGTGAGTGTTACATAACACACGCAGAAATAGACTTACGCTCAAGTGTGTTCTGAGGGTGGGGAGAGCTCTATTTAAGCTGCACGTGAAGTGGGCTGCTTCTGCCATCTGGAATCCTGGGTGACACTGAGCAGAGTATGTTCTGCTCACAGAGGACAGAGGTTAATTGAGTGCATTGGAGAGCGCGCTGCTGGGCGGTGCTGGGGGGTGAATGTCGGTTCTCACCATGCACTCGCTCCCTGACAGCCCCACTGCCCTGAGACTTGCTCTCTGCTGCACCTGTGGTGTTTGATGCTGTCTGTCCATCTGGATATCTGCCCTAGCACCCATCCATCTGCACATTCCTTTGGGGGTGCAGGGCAGGAAGGTGGGGGTGAACAGCTTGACACAGAGAAGGGGTGGGGTGGGAAGTGATCCGCTCCAGGCCAGGCCCCAAGACAGGGGCAGCGGGACGGGTGTGCCAGGCTGTAAGCCCCCCTGTAGCGCTCTGGGGGACTGAGGCTCCTGCCACCTCCCCGTCTCATGCCCTTCCCATTTTAGCTCATCAAATGCTGGCCAACCTCTCCCACAGCTACCCCTGAGCCCCACAGACCCTGGGAGGTAGGAATTGTGATGAGCCCCGTGTTACAGAAAGGGAAACTGAGGCATTGGAGCATGTCACCCACGTCACACCAAGTTGGGATTTGAGCCTGAGCAGCCAGCCCCAGAGCCTGGCCCTGCCTGTGTAGGGGAGCAGGGAGCTCCTTCCACCCACCCAGGAAAGCAGCATGTTTGTGGGGAGGTGATTTTGGCGTGGGCTCAGGAGGCTGGGGCTCCAGGCCTGGCTGAAGTGCTATCAGCCATGTGACTAAAAAGGAGCTCTTCCCTCCCCACCCCCTCCACCACGGCGCTCCGTCTCTCCCTTAGGCTCTGTCTGTGGGAGTTTTGTCTAACCTGCGTGGTAGGCACGGGGGAGAGAGGGGAATTGGCCATCTGCAAGCCCTGGCAGCCCGTGTGGCAGAGGCAGGCAGCGAAGACGCTCCATGTCAGTGCAGTAAGCCTGCTGGTCTGTGCCGGTGGCCGTCACACATGCTCTAGGATGGGGGCTCATAAGCAACAGAAACCCGTTCCTCACCGTCTGGAGCTGGATGTTCGTGGTCAAGGCGCCCCAGATTCAGTGTCCGCTTTCTGCTTTATCCATGGCGCCCTCCGTCTGTATTCCCGTGTGGCAGAACAAGAGAGGGAGCTCTCTGGGTTCCCTTTCATAAGGGCACTAATTCCATTCGTAAAGGCCCCACCTCCCCAAGGCCCCACATTCTTACACCAGCATACTGGGGGAGAGGCTTTAATATCTGAATTTTGGGGGGCTACACTGAGACCATAGTAAAACCCCACAGACGCAGGCCCTGACCTCTCGGAGTTTCCTGACAGCGGCCAATGGCCACAGCGTGTGCTGCGCTGGACCACACCAGGGTCGGAGGCGAGGCAGAGCTCAGAGGAGGGGCCGGCGCCATCTAACACAGGAGGGGCGGGGAGGCCTCCCTGATGCCATGCCATTGCACAGACCTGAGGAAAGCAAGGAGGCAGCGCCTGAAGAAAGAGCTGGCCAGGCAGCAGGAATGGCATGTGCCAAGGCCCCGGGGCAGCGGCAGGCTTGGGAGCTCCGGGAGGGGCAGGCCGGGGAGGCTGGAGGGGAGGGAGGTGGTCATAAGAGGCTCCGGCAAGGATGGCTTCATTGCTTCCAGAAAGGTTCCATCACTGCATAACCCCGCAACAAAAGGCAGGTCAGTGGTTGCCTGTGGCGGGTTGGAGGAGTCTTTGAGGGTGGGGGAGCGCCCTGAACCGTGACTGTGGTGGCCTCATGCTGTAGACAGCTGTCCAACTCACCGATCTGGACGGTTTCAATGAGTGCAGCTAATGGTGCACAAGCTATTCCTTCACTGAAAAAGCACAGAAGAAGAAAGTTCTAGAGGCCTCCACACTGTGGTAGCAATGTGGAATCTGCCCCAGTTTTGGGGGTACACTGATGATGAGGCCGCAGAGCATCATCCGAGGTCTGCCCTGGGGCGTTTCTACAGAGCAGGTCTAGTAGAGGAAACGTCATTGCACACCCAGGACAGGAGGCGCTGCTCACCCCATCTGCATCTATAGGCGAGCCCTGGGGTAAGCAGGGTATGTGGGGACCCCAGGGGACCGGCTACCTTGCCTGGGCTTGTGCTTTGAGCCAGGGATGGTGCTGGGGCTGTGGGCTGGGTGAAGGGGTTTGAAAGCCTGAAGCCTACAGTTCAGTGGAAATCAAGCCCTGGGGGCTGGAAAGGGCCCCTCCTCCTGGTGTTCCCCCTGGAGAGTGCAGAGATGGAAAAGGGTGTGCTGATTTGGGGGTTCCCTGGGCTAGGGGAGCTTCCAGATGGAAACTGAGGCACTTCCCTCAGCATCTGGCAAAGAGAGTGGGGCATCAGGAGGGACCTCTGCCGGCCCTGAGGGACCCTGAGGCCACCCACTATCTCCCAGGACCTGAGGGCCGCCTTGCGCCAGCCTTGACTGCCAGCCTCTGCTGTTGGTCAGGACCCAGCTCTCCACTCCTGGACTCCACCCCTTGGCATGGGGCACATCCTCGGGCCTGCTGCAGCTCCAGCCCCTCCCTCCTCTCCTTCCCCACCATGCCCCCTCTGCTCTCAGCCTCCCCCTCACCTCCTCATCACAGCCCTGCCCTGGCCTCAGTTTCCCCCAACACCATGTTCAGCAGCCTCCCTGGGTGACTTCGGCACCCAGAGGAACCACCCCTTCTTACTCCCCAAACCTCTATTCTTCTGGCTCTGGGACTGCAGACTGCGGACGGCTGCCCTGGCGCCACACTGTCAGCCAGCTCCCCCACCTACTCCGTCAGGCCCCTGCCCTTCCCCCCTGGCCTGTAGCCTGGCTCCCAGCCTTGGACTCCCGGCAACTCTGACTTACTCAAACCTGGCCCTCATCCCAGCGGCAGGCGCTGCTCTGTCCCTCTGGGCTCCTCTCACCTGTCTGGACCCAGCTTACCCTTCATGCCTGTGGACCCAGCAGGAGCAGGGAATGGGCCACGTGTGGGTCTCCCAGTGGGCAGAGGTGGGCACAGGCAAGGATGCCTGCAGGAGATATCCAGGGACTTGGCAAATGAGTGGATTAGAGACGTGGGGCAGCGGGCAGGGTGAGGAGGGAGTCCGAGGTGGGGCCAGGCTCCAGCTGAAGGGACAGAATGGCCAGGCCTCAGGCCACAGCACCCTGATTAGTGAAGCCTTGTCTTGTGTCGGAGTGAGGCAGGGGTGTGTTATTGGAGCTAGAGTGCAGGAGGGCCCTAGCCTCCTGGTCCTGGGCCCCCTGGGTCTGTGGGAACCAGCCCCTTGAGCACCTGCTGTGGACAGACCCTGGAGGTGAGAAGGCCCATGCATCAGTCATCCTCAGATGACTTAACTCAATCAGAATAGCGCCCATTCCATGGAGAAGCAAGCTGAGGTTCCAAAAAGTGGTGTGGCTCAGGGGATGGTGCAGTGGCTGAGGCCGAGGATTCCAGGGTCAGAGGCACATCCTCTACCGTGTATTCCTGGGAGAATGGGGATCAGCGGATGCAGGGCCATCTGGAGCCGCACCAGCACAGAACCAGCACGTTGTCACTCACGATTGTCACTCGGCAGAGCTGGAAACCACCAGAACTTGTGAGAGGCAGGCAGGCGTGGCCCAGGTGAGGGTGTGGCCTCGGAGCCAAGCTGCAGTCCTGCCAGCCACGTGGGCTGGGAGCAGGATGGGGCAGGTCAGCATTCACAAGGCGCAGGGAAGAGTGGGAGTTCATGAGGGTTTAGGAGCTGTCAGGAGGAGGCCAGTTTCTCACCAGTAGAGCTGCACTGAGCTTGCAGGACAGTGGGTCTCAGCTTTGGCTCATGGAGTCACTGAGAAGCCCTGACTCCAGTTCTGATGATCTGTCCGGAGGTGTCAAGGCTCCGGTGTCCAACTGCACAGCTCCACCCCAGCGCACCATGGCTTGCTGGCCAGTGGTTGCGGCAGCCTCTCCGGGTCTGCCTGCCACTCTCATCCCTGCGGTGAGCTGACCATGGTGCTTAGCATGGCGCCTGGCACATGGTAAGTGCCCAAGGAACCTTAGGAGTCAGGACTGTGGCTGCCTTTGGATGGCAGGTCTAGAAAAAGAGGCTCTACACGCTCCCAGTTCCCCTGACAAGTTTACAGCATGGCTGCATCTAGTGGTCACTGGGACTCACCTATCATGTCCCATCTTACTTATCCATCCATCCATCCATCCATCCATCCATTCATTCATCATCCACCTATTTATTTATCCATCCATCATCCATCTTTCCATCCTTCATCATCCATCCATCCATCATCTATTCATCCATCCATCCATTTATATACTTATTCATCCATCCATCCATCCATTTATCCATCCATCTATCTACCCATTTATCACTCTACCCATCCGTCCATCATCAGTTCATCCATTCATCCACCTAATCTACCTGTTTATCTGCTTTTTCTGTCTATGAAGTGGCCTGTTCTGGGCATTTCATATATAACATGTGGTCTTTTGTGTGTGGCTTTTTTACTCAGCATAATATTTTCAGAACTCATCCAGATGGTACCGTGTGTTAGCATTTCATTCCTTCTTACGGATAAATGGTCTTTCATTTTATGCATATATCTTGTTTTGTTTATCCATTCACCAATAGATGGATATTTGAGTTGTTTGCACTGTTGGCTCTTACAAATAATGCTGCTGTAAACATTCATGGCAAGTTTTTCTGTGAACATGTTTTCAGTTCTCTTGAGTATACGCCTAGACGTGGAATTGCTGGTGCCTTGATGTTTCATCCCCAAACTGCTAGTATTCCAAAATAACACAGTTGAGTACTGTTAGTATTTATATAGGCTTAATTTCACATGCAACTTGCGAACTAGACCCTGCCAGTGGGGAGTGCTTGCAAGAGGAACCCGAAAAAGTGGAAGGTCTAGCTCTGTAAGCCCAAGTTCTCATGCTGAAAGGGCAACGTAGATGTTCTTATTCTTTTAATTAGACCAAAGTGGGTTTGTCCTGTGTCTGAATAATTGTATACCTTGGAAAATCTATTTAGGATTCAGATGTGAAGACAGCCAAAGAGGAGAAATTTGTGTCATTCATAAAATCATCCAAAGATAGGCCTGGAATGTCCATCTGGTGCCGAAGTTTGTTGCCTGGGGTATAAATAATAAATACAATGATTAAGTTCAAATTATTACCTTCATCTTCGCTTCTTTGCATCATTGTCCTTGAAAGTGGCCTGTTTACTGCTTTTCTCGGTGTTTTCTGCAAGGTGGTAATTAAAACATCAACCCAAAAGACTATCACAATGAGCTGG